GGGGGCTGGTGCCCTATTCATTTGAGCCACAGATGCTGCCCAAGACTAGGAACTCTTTAAAGAAAGAGTCAGATCATCTGTGAGACCTGTAGTATATTTAGCTATTGTGAAAGAATGTGAGTTTATAAATTCCTCAAAGCTGGACTAGAGTACCGTTGAGCACCATGTTTATTTCCTGGACATGAAAAACAACATTACTTCTTTGATGGACTCTCACCTTATCTTTTTTCTTCCCTTAATTGCTAGAAATCTTGAAAGAATAGCCTATATTTAATATTTCATGTACTTAATTCTATTCACTCTGTCACCCTGGGTAGAGTGCCCTGTGTCATAGCTGACAACAACTTCAAACTCCTGGACTCACACGATCCTTTTGCCTCAGCCTCCCAAGTAGCTGGGACAACAGATGGACACTAATGCCTAGCTAATTTTTCTTTTCTTTTTCACAGAGTGTCACTATGTGGCCCTCGGCAGAGTGCTGTAGCGTCACAGCTCACAGCAACCTCAAACTCTTGGGCTTAAGCACTTCTCTTGCCTCAGCCTCCCAAGTATCAGGGGCTACAGACACCCACCACAATGCCTGGCTATTTTTTGATTGCTGTTGCAGTTGTCATTGTTTAGCAGGCCTAGGCTGGGTTTGAATCTGCCAGCCTTAGTGTATGTGGCCAGTGCCCTAAGGACTGAGCTACAGGCGCCAAGCCACTGGCTAATTTTTCTGTTTTTGGTAGAGATGGGGTCTTGCTCTTGCTCAGGCTGGTCTCAAACTCCTGAGGTCAGGCAATCCACCCACCTTGGCCTCCCAGAGTGCTGGGATTACTGGCATGAGCCATTGTGCCAGACCCTTCTATCTGCTCTTTGACTGCTGTGGTCTAGTTTCCTGAGCTGCCTCCAGCATGTGCTGAAACTGGCTTGCTAAGCACAGGAAAGGCTGCAGCACACTGCCCTGCAGCCTCTCTCTCCGCAGCTGCTGGACACTGTTGACCGTCTCTATTTCTGCTTCTTGACCCATGACTCTTCTCTGTGTTGCTTCTCCTGTGGTTTCTGTGCTCCTTCCTTCCTTCTCAGCCCGTCCTCCACTGTTGGCAGCATCCTCGGTTCTGCTCTCAGCTCTCTCACGACCCCTCTGTTTCCCTTTTTTATGTTTCTGACACTCAAATTATGACTAGAGCATGGGGAAGAGTGAGAGGGAGTCAGGCTGGCCCTGTTTTGAGATGAGATGAGCAGAAGATTGATGCCTAGCTTGTAAGAACCAACAAAGTGGAGAGGAAGAGTCACACTGGGTAGAGCTGGGAAGATGTTGTCTTTTAGCTGTGGGATTTCTTAGCTTGAGAACTGGGAAATTTGGGTAGAACTGTCTGGCCACAAATTGGACTAGTACAGAATTTGCGTGATAGCGTAGATGAAACCTTCGGAATAGATGAAACTGCAAAGTGAGGAAAGAATTGTTCTGGGAATGGAATCTTGAGGAATGCCTACATGGAGCCTGTGGGAGACAGGTGAAGATCCCGGGAAGAACACAAGAGTGGTTAGGGTTGGAAGGGAGCATGCAAAGTCAAAGGAATGAAGAGGGAATAAAAAGCACAAGAAAATCATCAAGTGGTAACTGTCCCAGAGGTGGTAGAAAACAAGCATTTAAAAAAGGCCATTCCATTTGATGTTAGGTGGTTGAGAAATTTAAAGAGGAATGTGAGTAATCTTTGTACAGTTAAACTATCACTGGGAAAGTTTTTTTTTTAAAGGTATCTATTTAATTTAAGGCTTAAATCCAAAGTGTTTTGAGTAGTATCAAATAGATAGCAAATTCAATGGTGAGGGTAGGTGGGCAGGCTGGGGCTCTGAGTTCAGGGCCTCTTTAACACACAACATACTCTACTGTCTCAAACTGAAAGCATTCTAGTATATTAAAAAGCAGAAATCATTTCTTCTAAAATCAAGACATCAACCAACACAGGATCCTTAAGTTGTTTTTCTAGCAGGAAGATGAATACATGCTAGGATCCCTAAAGGAATAGCCTGTGACCCTCAAATACATCCAAGGAGATCAAATTCTGAGTTTTATTTCCATGCTTCTCAATAAATAGGCCAACCAGGCCAGTATCTTTCCTGTACCCTAACTTCAAAAATAATTTTATCAAACAATGTGATTTTTAAATTCCTCACTTCTCTTTTAGGGGTTCAGTCCATCAGAATTTTGCTGACTTCACTTTTGCAACTGGTAAAATATTTGGATCCATATTTGCATTAAAAGGAGATATAGATTCAAATGTAGCTATTGATCTTAGCAACAAAGCTTCATTAGCATTCTTACAAAAGCATTTAGGTAAGAAACTAATGTTCTTTCTTGACAAAACTGTCTCTCTTAACACAACTTTGGTGCCATTTTAACTGTTTCTAGTTGGTTTATATTTAAAGCTGTAAATCAATTTGAAAGCAAACATTTGAGGAAGTTAATTGTGCTGCTTTACATACTGTATATCCTACAGAGCAAGTCTAGCTGCTAAAGCTAATGGTCTCTCTATGAACCATGGGGTGGTTGGTAGATTTGCTTTTCTGCAGTTTGACTCAAAGTTATAAGTCCCTATGGTCCCTATCAGGTGTGAATTCACCTGTCCCCCTTTTCCCCCTCCTACCTGCTTGGTTTCCATTGAGTTTACCACCAAATGTTCACATGGGTACTGATCAGTTAGTTCCAGTTTAATAGTGAATACATGAGGTGTTTGTTTTTCCATTGCTGTGATCCTTTTCTTGGAAGAGTGATCTCCATTTCCACCCAGGTTATTATAAAGGGTATTAGTTCAGTTTTTTAATGTCTGAGTGGTACTCCATAGTATAACTATACCACATTTTTATGAATCCAATCATATAGTAATGAGCACTTGGATTGATTCCACATCTTTGTGATTATGAATTGGGCTGCAATAAACATTTGAGTGCACATGTCTTTTGGATAAAATGATATTTTTTACTTTGGGGTAAATACCCAACAGTGGCATTGCTAGATCAAACAGAAGGTCTACTTTAAGTTCTTTGAAGTATCTCCATACTGTTTTCCATAGGGGTTGTACTAGGCTGTGGTCCCACTTGGAGGATTCTAACAGCTGGGGTCCTCCCTTCATTCTCTCATTTGCCCGCAGCTGATGGAATACACTTTGCCTCTAAAATCATTATGCAATTTGATAATTTGTAATTCTATTGTGCCACCTAGAGGCACTGAACTGTTTACTGCTCTCAAAAGTGTAATAGGTTTATTGACATTTGTATTTTTCAGGACTTCATAAAGATTTTGATCAGTGGGACTGTCTAATTGAAGGAGCTAATGCGAATCTTATTCCAGGGACCAACATTGACACAATCAATCAACATGACACCCTACAGAATGCTACAGGAATACAGGAACAGAATTAGGATTAAAGGGGTTTTTTAAAATATTTTTTCAAAATTGTCTAAAATTGTGCGTGTGTAGTATGTGTGAGAGAGAAGATTTTAATGTATTTCCCCCAATAATGCATATTTTAAAATGTAGGCTATAGAAGCAAAATTGAGGCATATGCTAAATTATTTTCATTTAAATGTAAAAGAAAGAATGCAGAGTACAAAAATCCTATCAACGTGAATTTTAATTTTACTAAGGTATCTTTTTTAGTGTCAAAGTGAAAAATTGCTTTTATATTACTTTAATAATGGACAAGTATATTAAAAGAGGCACAATGCCAGTGAAAACCTGTGTGGATGACATAAGACTCCTTACACATCTAGCAAAAGCAGATTTTCTTACTTTTCATTCTCTATTGTGAGCAGTAAGGCTGAATTTTGGTAACATAACATTCTAGGTAAAATTTGATTTCTCTTTGACTTTTGATCATGGTAAGAAAAATTAGATCAAGCTAATAATAAAGCCATTGTTTTAGCATAGGATTGGTGATACTGTACAATTTTGATATAATGACTAAGGATATTGGAGACAAGGCAGAGGCAGAAGATTAAAGGAAATTGGTAATTACTTTGCGTTTTCTTTAATTCTTTATCTCTGTTGCATTCTGCTTACTCAAGAAAGGTGTCGCTGGATTATAGTATACAGCAGGGACTCCAGCTTTAACACCATTATTTGCCCGATGGCTGTGAAGGAAAACAAAGGAAACATTGAGAATTACATTGAACTTCTTCATTCTTCCAATTAATTTTATTTAATAGATGTTTTAAATTCTACATGTAGTAATAAAAGTAGTAGTCTTTTATGATTTAGTATTATTTTGTTCTATTCTACTAAATGGGTGTAAAAAGACAACTTAAAAATTTGTACACTTACACGTCTGGGAATCATGGTAAATGATTTCTTCCTCCAAGGGATGTAAGAAATTATGCTGATCATTAGTTACGTATATATTTTTACTCTAAGTATGGTCTTATTCTTATGAATTTTCCATAATTAAGTTTAATTTAGCCTATGTGAACAAGGGTATTCAATACTCAGTAAGCCAGTCTGGTTAACATTTTCATCTCTATCTCTTTTGCCCAGTTTATAAGTTTACTGTGTATCCTGATTTTGTATCTCAGACCTATCTTAGTAATGTAAAGTGCAAAATCATTCATTCTGAGAAGTTTCACTTCTCTCTCTCCTACAGCCATTCAGATTAAATTTTTAAAATAGCGAGTGAATAAACTCAGTTTTTTTATTGTTAGGGATTCATTGAGGGTACAAAGAACCAGGTTACATTGTTACATAAATTATGTCTAATCCTAAAAACACTGTAAGAAAGGTTTCTTATCATAACTTTACAAATGAGGAAGATCAAGGCTCAAAGATACTTCCTACCCTGCCCTGGTCACATATAGCTAAGGAGCATACAGCTAACATCTCTGTTCTGCAAAATCATGTTTAAAACTGTGGGCTTTGAAGTTAGATAGGTGTGGGTGTGATCAAGTGTCTGAGACTCACTAACTATCTGACCTTAGGAAAGTCACTTAACTTCTCTAAAAAGCTTCAATTTTTCTCACCCATAAAATAAAGATAATATTAGTATGTACCTCAAAGTTGATGATTCAAATGAGAAAATGTATTTAAAGTGCCCATACGTAAGAGTAACTGAGTGACAAATACATAAGAGCTTACATTATTATGCTTCCCCCAATCGATAGAGGAGAAAGGAACCACAGATATTCGAGAATCTTCTTTTCTTTCTTTTTTTATTGTTAGGGATTCATTGAGGGTACAAAGGACCAGGTGACACTGATTCCATTTGTTAGATAAAAACCCTCCTATAATTGTATCAAACTCCAAAAGGTGTGCCACACACCATGACCCCCCACCCTCTCCCTCCTTCTCTTTCTCTGTTCTCCCCTTCCCCATCCCTGGTGTGTACTAGGTCACATATCAGAATTGAGTACATAGGAGTCTTGCTTCTCCATTCTTGTGAGGCTTTACTAAGAATAATGTGTTTCATTTCCATCCAATTTAATACAAAAGATGTAAAGTCTCCATCTTTTCTAATGTCTGAATAGTATTTTGTGGTATACATATACCACAGCTTCTTAATCCATTCCTGGGTTGGTGGGCATTTAGGCTGTTTCCACATTTTGGTGATTATAAATTGAGCTGCAATAACAGTCAAGTGCAAGTGTCCTTATAGTAAAAGGAATTTTTTTCTTCTGGGTAGATGCCCAGGAATGGGACTGGAGGATGAAATGGGAGGTCTAGTTTGTGTTCTTTGTGGGTTCTCCATACTTCCTTCCAAAAAGGTTGTATTAGTTTGCTGTTCCACCAGCAGTGTAAAATTGTTCCCTTCTCTCTACATCCACACTAGCTTCTGCAGTTTTGAGATTTTTGTGATGTGGGCCATTCTTGCTGGGGTTAGGTGATATCTCAGGGTGGTTTTGATTTGCATTTCTCTAATAATTAGGGATGATGAGCATTTTTTAATATGTTTGTTAGCCATTTGTCTGTCTTCTTTTGAGAAGGTTCTATTCATCTCTCTTGCCCAGTGATCTAAGGGATTGTTGGCTTTTTTTATGTTGATTAATTTGAGTTCTCTGTAGATCCTAGTTATCAAGCTTTTGTCTGATTCAAAATATACAAATTTCCTTTCCCAGTATGTAGGTTGTGTATTTGCTTTGGTTATTGTCTCCATAGCTGTACAGAAGTTTTAAGTCCCATTTGTTTATTTTTGTTGTTGTTGCAATTGCCGTGGGAGTCTTCCTTATAAAGTTTTTCCCCAGGCCAATAGCGTCAAGTGTTTTCCCCACACTTTCTTTGATGATCTTTATTGTTTCATGCCTTAGATTAGGGCTTTTATCCATCTTGAATCAATGTTTGTGAGTGGAGAAAGGTGAGGGTCCAGTTTTAGTCTTGTACATGTGGATATCCAGTTCTCCACTGGATATCCAGTTCATCCAGCACCACTTATTGAATAGGGAATCTTTTCCCCAGTATATATTGTTTGGTTTATCAAAGATTAGGTGGCTGTAAGATGTTAGTTTCATCTCCTGGTTTTCTATTTGGTTCCAGATGTCTGTGTCTCTATTTTTGTGCCAATATCATGTTGTTTTGATTATTATGGCCTTGTAGTATAGCCTAAAGGCTGGTATGCTGATGCCCCCAGCTTTGTTTTTATTACTAAGAATTGCCTTGTCTATATGGTGTTTTTTCTGGTTCCATACAAAACAGTTATTTTTCCCAAATCTTGAAAGTGTGATGTTGGTGTTTTAATAGGGATGGCATTGAATCTGTAGATTGCTTTGGGAAGTATAGACATTTTAACAATGTTGATTCTTCCCAGCCATGAGCATGGATGTTCTTCCATTTTTTAATATCTTCTGCTATTTATTTTCTTAGGGTTTCATAGTTAAATTTATAGAGGTCCTTCACCTCTTTTGTGGGGTATATTCTAAGGTATTTCATTTTCTTTGAAGCTACTGAGGAGGGACTTGTGTCTTTGATTAGCTTCTCATCTTGGCTGTTATTGGCATATACAAAGGCTACTGATTTATGGATGTTGATTTTATATCTTGAGACATTACTGTATTGTTTGATTATTTCCAGAAGTATTGTAGTTGAGTCTTTGGGGTTCTCTATGTATAAGATCATATCATCAGCAAAGAGGGAGAGTTTCACTTCCTCTGCTCCCATTTGGATGTCCTTTATTTCCTTCTCTTGCCTGATTGTATTGACTAGAACTTCCAGCACTATGTTGAATAGTAGTGGTGGAGGACAACCTTGTCTTGTTCCAGTTCTAAGTGGAACAGCTTTCAGTTTTACTCCATTCAGTACAATATTAGCTGTGGGTTTGTCTTAGATGGCTTCAATCAATTTAAGAAATGTGCTGCCAGTGCCTGTTCTTGAGAGTTGTAATTAGAAAAGGATGTTGAATTTTACTGAATAGTTTTTTTGTATCTATTGAGAGGATCACATGATCTTTGTTGTTGCTTCTGTTGATATGGTGAATTACATTTATGGATTTGTGTATGTTAAACCAGCCCTGCATCCCTGGGTGAAATCTACGTGATCATGATGTATGGCTTTTTTAATGATAAGCTGTAATGTATTGGCTAGGATTTTATTGAGAATTTTTGCATCTATGTTCATTAGTGAAATTGGTCTGTAGTTCTCCTTTTTAGTTGGGTCTTTTCCTGGTTTTGGTATCAGGGTGATGTTTGCTTCATAGAATGTATTGGAGAAGATTCCTTCCTATTCAGTTTTTTGCAATAATTTCTGAAGTATGGATGTAAGCTCTTCTTTGAAGGTTTGGTAGAATTCTGGTGTGAAACCACCTGGCCCAGGGCATTTTTTTGTTGGGAGATTTTTTTATTGTTTCTTTGATCTTAGTGCTTGAAATTGGTCTGTTCAGAAGATCTATTTCTTCTTGATTAAATCTAGGGAGAGGGTGTGATTCTAATTATTGATCTGTTTCCTCCATATTGTCAAATTTCTGGGCATAGAGTTTCTTGTAATATTCAGAGATAATCCCTGTATCTCTGTGGCATCTGTTGTTATTTCCCCTTTATCACTCCTGATTTAGGTTACTGGAGATTTTACTTATCTGTTTCTAGTTAGTCTGGCCAAAGGTTTATCTATTTTATTTACTTCTTAAAAAAAAAAAAAACAACCTTTTGTTTCATTAATTCTCTGAATGATTTTTTTGTTTTCAATTTCATTAATCTTTGATTTAATTTTGCCAATTTCTTTTCTTCTACTGGGTTTAGGGTTAGATTGTTCTTTATTTTCCAATTCTATAAGATAGTTTTTGAGTGTGCTGATGTATTTACTTTCTGTTTTTTAAAGTTAGGCATCTAGTGCAATAAATTTTCCTCTCAGAACTGCTTTTGCTGTATTCCACAGCTTTTGGTAACTTGTGTCTTCATTGTTGTTATGTTTGAGGAAATCAACAAATTCCTCTTTTATCTCTTCCTGGACCCAATTATCATTGGCATAA